TATGTGTGTGTGTGCACGCATCTGTGCCTCTGTGTGCCAGGCTTAGAAGGACCGGCTTTACCTCCTGGCAGGGCCGTTCTCTGTCTCTTTGAGAGTGGAGATGCTCCCCTGCTGAGGCTGTCTGACTGCATCAGGCATGAAGACTCTTCTCTCTGCCCTCCTAACTTGGTCAACAATGGTTGATATTGATTAAAAAGGAAAAATGTCACTAGTGCTTCCCTACCACCCCCCAAAAAGACACTCTCAGGATCTTGTGAGAGGGGCATGTACATTGTTCCTTGCCCTGAAACCCAGGCTTAATAGCTACAAACACAAGTGAGATAAGGCTAACCTGTAACCAATGGGAGGGAAGAGACGACAACCTTCTGGAAGTTGATTAATCCATTCTGATCAAAAGTGAGTGGTAGTTGAGCCATGGCAAGTGTATTCTTCTCTCTCTCCACTGGATTTCACGACCCATCTCTCTCTCCTGAGTGGAGAGATTGTTTTCTTTTCTGGCCGGTGTTGTGGGGCAGGCAGAACCTTGTGTCCTCTCAGTTGCCCAGATTTGGTTGGGCCATCCTTTCCTGCTTTTTTCCCTCCTACCCTTTATGTGAAACATTGGCCTAGCCAGATGGATGAGGACAGGCACTGAGCCCTCCACGTCAGCCTCTCCATCTTCCCTCATAGCAGTCCTGTTTCAGTAAGGGATCACCCAGCCCTCACTATGCTTCTGCCCAGCCTTCCTGCAAGGGGAAATAGAAGAAGTGGTTTTGAGGGGGAGGAGGTGATGTTGGTGATTAAACCAACGTCCCACTGTAAGGCAATACTGTCGAGTTGTCTTGGCTGTCCTGCTGTGGCCAGATTCTCCTCCCCATGGAGGGAGGACATGACACTATATTTGAGTTATTCTTGAGTATCCCTGTATACTGTTCCAGAGTGGACACTTTTCATCTATAGGACCTTTCGAGATCAAAAAAACCTCTGCATGTTTCCAAGCATATGGTCTGAGCGAAGTGCCCCCATCTCCACGTCCAGCCTTCCACTGTAAGAACAAGGTGGCCTCTGTGTTTCTGTGTTTTTCCTTCAGTTATTCTGATTGCCTTAGACTCTGCAGTACACAATGCTGAGTGAGAGTGGAAAGGATGCTTAGATGACAGACACACTGCAATGTGTTCCAGCTTCCCAGGTGTAGAAGCAATGTTTGTGTTTCCCATGTAAACCAGAGTTGGCATCACGTGGATGAATGTGTTCTCAGGTGTTGACCTTGTCATGCCTGTGCTGTAATTGAAAGCAAAAAACAAAACCAAACCCAACCCAACCCACTCTGTTTTCTGTTTCTTTGTGTTTGGATTGTCACGAAGTTGCTGCAGAAAGGCTTGCTGTGGACACCTTTGGGAATCTCGCTGGAGGTTCATGGTGTTGCAGTGAATGGGTAAGGAGAGCCTGTTAGCTGTGAGCTGCACTGTTGGCAGCGGCCACAGGTGTGCGGGCTGTCTGCTCACTCTGGTTCCACAGCCAGAACACATTCGCTGTGAAGCAGTGGAGAATCCTTACATTGGAGAGGCTGCTTGAGGCCCTGGGTGTCGGCGGGAGGCAGTCATAGCTTGGTAGGAATCCTAAAGCCTCCAGTCACGACTGGTCGGTGTGTACACTTACTGACTGGCGAGTCATTTTCCCCCATTGAAACTGTTATCCCTTCAAAAAAATGGGCTCATAAGATTTTTCAGAATAATATTCATGAGGCTGTGTATTACAGGGTCCAAAAGCTGCTCTGATGCCACAGGAAAGCCATATTTTGGATGAGTCTAAGGCGGATTCTTTGCCTGTTTCTGGCAGATACTGATGGTAGCAGTGAGTGTACCTTATGGTGTGTGGGGTGCCTTAAACATTGAGCAATTAAAACATGGAAGAAAAGAGGAACGCTCTTCTAGAATAGCAGGTTGTAGACACTGAAGAATTATAAAGCAGAATGCAAAGAGGAACAAGGAAACAGACCCAGTTCTGCACAAAGGGCATGTGAGTTATCGGGAAGAAAACCCCCAACTCAATGCTAAGATTCATCGACCTCAGGGCCAATGTATAGACAGCCTTAAGTAAACAGCTCGCAGTAAAGGCTCACAGTTCTATTTACCTTGCCATTAATAGGATTGTTACTGTGATCTGATTATGGTAGACATTTTTCATCTCCTCTCCTTTGTTTGATTTTCATCATGTTTCAATAAGACTGAATTACCCTTGCTTGTTCCGTATGATGCTGATGATGGTGATGATGGTGGGGGCTGAAAGGAGGAACAGGAATTTTCCTGATATATGAGCTGTATGCCTTGAGAAGAAAAGCTCATTTCAACTGGCACGTATTCACTCCCAAAGGAAATAGATAAGAGGAGCTAGACTTGATCAGGAAGTTCATATTTCATTCATTTCTTCATCAAATATTTATGCAGGGCCGTGTAGCGTACTAGGTGCTTCTGGTTGGATCCTTGGCAGCCCATTGCATGTCAAGGCTTTGCAGGTTCTTGTGTTTCCTGTTTTATCCTCAGATTAGAAGATAAAAGTCTAAAAGCAAAATTATTACTCCTTTCAGCTGCTTACTGCTTACTATCAATGTGTAGGAAATGTGGGTTTTTTACTTTTATCTTGCGGAACTCCCACCACTTTGTGCTTTTTAATTTACTGTCTATTTAGAATATGTAAGGGGTCATATATTTGGCAACTGTTAAAAAATTTGTTTGACAGGCAGAGTCACAGTGAGACAGAGATCTCCCAACTGCTGATTTGTACCCCAAATGACTGTAATGGCCAGGCTGGAGCTAGGAGCCTGAACTTCTGTCTGGGTCTTCTATTTGGATGGCAGGGGTCCCAATAATTGGACCATTTTCCTCTGTTTTCCCAGACACCTGTGCTCATGTGGGATGTTGTTACAGTCAGCAGTGCAACCTGCTGCATCAAAAATTCTGGCTCCAGTGTTTTGTAACTCTTAATGCTGTTTTTTATTACAATGGCCTAGCCAATGAGAATTTTTAAATAAAATTCTGAGGACATACTTATCTTGATCTTTGTTAAAGGGAATGTGTTCAGTGTTTTGTTGTTAGATATAAGAGTTGCTATTCATTTTTTTTATAAAGATATATTTGAAAGGCAGAATAATGGAGAGGAAAATACAGAGAGACAAAGAGAACCTCCATCTTCTGGTTTACTCCCCACATGGCTGCAACAGGCAGAGCTGAGGGCTAGTTCAAAGCCAGAAGCCAGGAGCTTCTTCTAGGTCTCCCATGTGGGTGCAGGGGCCCAAGCACTTCGGCCCTTTTCTGCTGCTTTCCCAGGGCACAATAGCAGATAACTGGATCAGACATGGAGCTGCCGGTACTTGAATTGGTGCCCTTAAGTGATGCCAGCAATACAAGTGGTAGGCAGCTTTACCAGCTGTGCCATAGTGCTGGCCTCTGTTGGTTTAACAAATTAAAAATTTTTTTTCAAGTCATAGGTTATTATTTTTAAAATCTGGAATAGATGGACTAGATTTAATAAAAATGACTTATTAGCATCTGTAGATTTGATAATTTTACTTTTATGCATGAATTCTTTTTAATATAATGAATTGATTTCCTAATACTGACCTATGTATATTTGTCCTTTGGATAAATCCTACTTGGTCTTGGGTTCAGCTTGCTAATATTTTGTTTGGTTATTTTGGATATCTGTTTTCTTTGGGTTACGCTTTTCTATGTCTTCTCTCCACTTGGTGACTTTAGTTTGGTTAATCAGATTTGCTTAATTCAGTTTTATTTTACTCCAAGTTGCATTTCCTGTTTCTGTTTGACTAATGTTTCTAATTAAGATTTTTCTACTGTAGGCAGATTAGTATGTGCAACTTTCTCCAGAAAAAGAAAGAATTTTAAGCTTGCTCTTACCTCCACTTTGAGGATTTTTTGGATATCATCCTGCATTTGAATTCATGCCTATGGCTATTTAAAAAATTGATATCTTGGGCTTAGCACGGTAGGCTAAAGTGCTTGCCTTGCATGTGTTGGGAACCCATATGGATTGATGTTCTGGCTGCTTCACTTCCCATCCAGCTCCCTGCTTGTGGCCTGGGAAAGCAGTCAAGGACGGCCCAAAGCCTTAGGACCTGCACCTGCATGGGAGACCCAGAAGAAGCTCCTGGCTCTTGGCCTCAGATCAGCTCAGCTCTGGCCATTGAGACTACTTAGGGAGTGAACTAGCGGATGGAAGATCTTTCTTTTTGTCTATCCTTTCTCTGTAAATCTGACTTTCCAATAAAAATAAAGAAATCTTTAAAAAATCTATATATCTCATGCATTTTTAAGTGAATACTTTTTCTTCTTATGTTTTTTTCAAGAGATTATTTATTTAAAAGCTGGAGTTGCAGAGAGGCAGAGGGGGAGAGAGAGAAGGAAAGAAAGAGGTCTTCCATATCTTCCACCTGCTGGTTCACTCAAATGCCGCAACAGCCACAGACTGGGCTAGACCTAAGCCAGGAGTGTGGAGCGTCATCTAGGTCTCCTTTATGGGGACAGGGGCCAGAGCACTTGGGTAGTCTGGCGCTACTTCCCTAGGTGTGTTAGCAGGGAGCTGAACTGAAGTGGAGTAGGTGGGACTTGTACCCATATTGGATGCCAGTATTGCAGGGGGAGGTTTTTTTTTTACTGGCTATGCTACTGTGCTGGCTCTTAGTGAATATATATATATTTTAAAATTTATTTTTATTTTTATTGGAAAGTCAAATATATACAGAGAGGAGGAGAGACAGAGAAGAAAGAGCTTCCGTCCACCAATTCACTCCCTAAGTGGCTGTAGTGGCCGGAGCTGCACTGATCTTAAGCCAGGAGCCAGGAACCTCTTCTAGGTCTTCCATGCAGGTGCAGGGTCCTGAGGCTTTGGGTCATCCTCAACTCTTTCCCAGGCCACAAGCAGGGAGCTGGATGGGAAGCAGGGCTGCTGTGATTAGAACCGGCACCCATATGGGATTCTGGCGCTTTCAAGGCAAGAACTTTAGCCACTAGGCTATTGTGCCAGGTCCGTGAATATTTTGCTTAAACCATTGCCACAAACTTCACAGAAATATCAGTTCACTATTAAGCACAAGTGTTTCTTGAACGGAACTTTCCTCTTCCTTAGTTTTTAGCATGCTACATGTGGATGTAGCACCCTAGCAGGTGCGTACTACATGACCCCAACCAGGTGGTTCACCTTATTCTTTTCTTGTCTGCACCAGGACTCTGCAGTTGACCTTTGCCCCAGCTGCTGTGACCTGGGTCGGAGTTGGGGGAGGGATGAGGATGGACGTGTTCCTCGGGGCTTTCTGCCTGGGTGTGTGGCAGTAACAGGACAATAGGCCAGATGAACCCTCCTCAATTGAGGAAGCAGGAAGAGTTACCCTGTAGATAGAGAATTTCACATGTGTTCCCAGAATACACTTCCTCTTTTTGTCCTTCAAGTTGCTCCAGCAACTCAGCAATCCATGGTCCTATGATCACTCTGCTGTCCTTCCCCAGCCCAGCATTTGGTCTCAGCTGCTGTGGTCTTTTGGGATCTGGAATTCTTCCCCATACTCTGGGTAAGAAAATCCCATCTCTTTCCATTTCTAGCATTTCCCACCATGGCCTGTTGAGTTTGGAGTTTTTAACTTCAGCTAAAGGCAGTTTTTTTTTTTTCCCCCTCCTGTGAATTTGATCTTTTCTGCTGTGTCTCTGACAGGAGTTCCTTAAACTTTCCTAGTGACTCCTGTGGCACTCATCCCTGTGCTCTGGTCTTTTGATGGGTTGGTTCTTATTATTATATGGTGGAACTTGAACAAGGTATGGGAAAATGGAGTTAAAAGATACATTTACTTTAGTGCAGAGAAAGTTTGAAATCCATGCATTATGTTTGCATGAGCCTTTACCAGATCCCTTTTACTTTTTTGTTATTTACTTGGAATTTGAAGTGATCTGAGAGGTAACCACAGAGCTTGGCCCAGCCCCACTGTGGATTTAGTACATCTCGTTGCTTCTCACTAGCAGGAATGTAATGACTTTTTTTTTTTTTTTTTTAAAGATTTATTTTTATCATTTTTTCATTGGAAAGGCGGATATACAGAGAGGAGAGACGGAGAGGAAGATCTTCCGTCCGATGATTCACTCCCCAAGTGAGCGCAACGGCCGATACTATGCCAATCTGAAGCCAGGAGCCTCTTCCGGGTCTCCCACGCAGGTTGCAGGGTCCCAAAGCTTTGGGCCGTCCTCGACTGCTTTCCCGGGCCACAGGCAGGGAGCTGGAAGGGAAGTGGGGCTGCTGGGATTAGAACCGGCGCCCATATGGGATCCCGGGCGTGCTAGGTGAGGACCTTAACCACTTGCGCCACCGCGCCGGGCCCAAAGGAATGTAATGATTTTTTAAGCCAATAGTTCTCCCATATAATTAAAAAAAAAAAAAAAAGAGGATTTGAGAGGCAGAGAGAGAGAGAGAGAGAACATGAGCAAGAGAGAGAAACACTCCTGACCCACTGTTTTGCTTCTCAGTTGTCTGTGACACAGGCTGGAATTTGGGAGCTGAGCCCACTTGTCTGATACACAGCTTCCCAGTTCCTGACACTGGGATTGTGGAAGAAGCTGTTTATTGCAAAGTATGAAGCCAAGACCTATGCCATTATGGCTTAATTTGCAGGCTCTTTGAAGGCTGATGGGTAAAGGTTCGAGTGAGGTTGAGTGGTGCAGATCAGGTTTGTGCTGATCCCTGCTTTATATTTAATGTGTGTGATCCTTTTCTTCTTCTTACAACAACAAAACAATAACAGTTTATGTATTTGAAAGATAATACAGAGGGAGAGATGGAAACAGATTTTGCCATCTATTCCTTAGATGGCTGTGATGGCTGGGCCAGGGGATGTCAGAGGTCCAAGGATTTAGGCCATCTTCTGCTGCCTTCCCAGGCATATCAGTGGGAAGCTGGGTGAGAAGCAGACTTAGACAAGGGATGCTGGTGTCTGTACCAAAGCCCCGGGCCCCGTAATCATGCTTTGACTGGTCAGAAGTGTCACATTCTTCTGGGAATTTTGATGATGGCAGAGTGGGCTCCAGTCAATGAAAGGGCAGTCACCTCTTGCTCAGGGGTTGGGGTTCCTGGAGAACTATACAAGACAAGACTGAACATCCAGATGTTATCTGTATGAGGAGATAAGTGACTTCCTAAGTCCTACACTCCAGCACCCTGTGCAACCAGTTCTACTACTCCATTGATTTAGTATTTGGTGAGTTAATTTTAGAAAAAGCAAAGGCAGGGAAACCTCAGGCTAAAGGAAGGAGGCTGAGAGATTGTGGAAGAGTAGGCCCTGATGCTATCAGCCATCTGTATACTGGCCTAGTTTCAAATAGTCTTGCGGGCCTAGTGGTTAAATCCTCTCCTTGCATCCTCTACCAGTATCCCATATGGGCACTGGTTTATATCCCAGCTGCTCTAAGTCCTCTCTAGCTCCCTGCATGTGACCTGGGATAGCAGTAAAAGATGGCCCAAAGCCTTGGGACCCTGCACCTGCATGGGAGACTCCATAGAAACTTCTGCCTGGCTCCTGGCTTCGGATTGATTAGCTCCAGTTGTTGTGGCCACTTGGGGAGTGAACCAGTGGATGGAAAATCTTTCTCTCTGTATCTCCTTCTCTCTACATACCTGTCTTTCCAATAAAAAGAAGAAATCTTAAGAAATAACACCAAACTCAGTCTTGGTCTTCCATGTCAATGGTAGAGACCCACCTGTTTGAACTATCACCTGTTGTCTTCCAGGGTAGGCTGGAATCAGGAGTGGAGCCAGTATTCAAACCCAGATGCATATTTTAAAAAGATTTATTTATTATTATTTGAAGGGCAGATTATTTATTCATGTATTTTTTATTGGAAAGACAGATTTACAGGGAGAAGAGAGAGAGAGAAAGATCTTCCATCCACTGGTTCACTCCCCAAATGGTCAAAACAGCTAGAGCTAAGCTGATTCAAAGCCAGGAGCCAACAGCCTCCTCTGGGTCTCCCACACATGGGTCCCGAGGACTTGGACCATCCTGTACTGCTTTCCCAGGCCATAAACAGGGAGCTGGATGGGAAGTGGAGCAACTGGAACATGAACCAGTATCCATGTGGAATGGTAACAATTGCAGGTAGAGGATTAACCTGTTGATCCACCATGCTGGCCCCCAAACCCAGATATTATAATATGGCAACCAAATGTGTTAACTGGCATTGTCACTGCTGGGTCAAGTCAGTGCTTCCTGCATGCTTTTGACAATAGTAGCAACTATTTATCTTAACTATTTGTTTTGTGCCCTGTACCATATCATAGCTACTTTGATTGTTCTTTTATCATTCACCCCATTTACCAGGTAGATGTTGTTCTGCTTAGGCTCTACCGCTTACCAGAACACTCCTAAAATAGAATAGGTTAGACATGGACTATGTGGTGAGCCTCCTGTGGTGATGAGGCTGACAGGCCTCCGGTGTGTGGTTTTTGCTGGTGTTGTTCAGTTGTCTGCTGGGACTGTGGTCAGCCCACAGCTCCCTCCTCAGACTAGGCACCCAGTGACTGACTTGCAGTTGGCAGTTGACTGCAGGGCCTGCATGTGACATTGTCCTGGGGCTTGGACAGCTCAAAGCCTGTGGATGAGTTTCTGGGGGGGTGTGTCCCAAGAAGGAGCGTTTTGGGGCAGGCACTTGGTGGAGTGATTGAGAATCCACTTGGGAGTGCCTGAATTTGAGTCCCAGATCTGCTCTTGATTCCAGCTTCCTGTTCCCTGGGAGGCAGTGGGTGACCGCTCATGGCCGGGTCCCTGCTAAACATGTGGACGATCCAGATTGAGTTCTAGCCCTGGGCGTTGGCCAGGCCCATCCCTGGGAATTGTGGGCTTTGCAGGGTGTGAGCCATTGTCTCTCTGCCTCTCAAAACAAACAAACAGATGCATTTTATATATGAACACTCTTGTAGGTAGGAAATGGAAATTTCTGAGCCACTGAAAGGACCATGCCTAGAGTTGCTCCAGTATCACTTACTTCTGCAGGCTGCCTTTGGTTGTAGCAGTCAGAGGACCTACTTGGATTCCTCAGGCTGTGGTGTAGACTGCATCTTCTAATGGGAAAGTAGTGGGTGAGCATGTGGAAGGGGAGGTACAGTCATGCCTGTTCTTCAGAAAATACAAAGTGATGCAAACCCTATGCTGAAGATGGGATCCTAGAAACCAGGACCTTGCTTTCCACACCTTCTGGGGCCAGGGCAGGGGCAAGGGCCATGGCTGGGGTTGGGGCAGTGGCCAGGACTGGGCAGGGGTCGGGGCAGGGGCAGCAGTCAGGGTGGGGGCAGGTGCAGGGGCAGCAGCCAGGACAGGGGTAGGAGTTGGGGCAAGGGCAGGGGCAGAGGCAGCAGCCAGGGTGGGGGCGGGTACAGGGGCAGCGGCCAGGGCAGGGGGCGAGTGTGGGGTCAGCAGCTAGGGCAGGGTAGGGGTTAGGGCAGGGGATGAGCAGACAGTGACAGTGTAGGTCAGTGTTAGGGAGAGATAGGGTGTAGGGGCAGGGGGAGCTGTCAGACCCAGACTGGACAAGTGCTGGCTGGCAAGGGGGAAGTGGGCTGAGAAAAAATCTTTGAGAGGATCTTTTTGGAGCCAAGTTTTATTTTTTTTTTTAAGGAGTTATTTTATTTGAAAGACAGAGTTACACACACATGAGGGAGGTGGGAAAAAGAGGGATGGAGAAAGAGACTGAGAGAGAGAAAGAAACAGTGACACAGAGACATCTTTATATCTGCTGGTTCACTCCTTAAATGGCACTCCTTAAATGGCACTGCCCAGCTCAGTCACAGCCATTATAGCCATTTATTCTGCTTTATTCACTGTTTCTTTCTCCTAGATATATAGGTGTGGATACCCAAGCACTTGGACTATGTTCCACTGTTTCTCCAGATGGATTAATAGGGAGCTGGATTTTGAAAGTATGGCATTTGGGACTTGAACCAGCACCCATATAGCATGTCGGCATCACAAGTGGCAACTTTACTCACTGCACTGCTGTGTCACAGTGCCAGCCACTTGGAACCAAGTTTTGAAGCTCAGATGGGTATTAGTTGGATGAATAAGGTGGCAGAAGGCATCTGGGGAAAGGAAATGTCCATGTAAAGCATTGGATGGGTCGAGTGCTTATGGCACTTTAGGGAGTTGCTGGGGGACAGAGGCCTGAGAATTGGCCAGGTACTGCCGGCCCAGAGAGGGGAGGTAGAACAAGTGGTTTAACCCTTCAGGTCCTGGGGTCAGCCTGCCCTGTGACAGCTCTCGTCTGGCTTTGTGTCCACAGAGGACCCTGGATGTCTCCTTTAGGGTGCTGGGTGGGCCGTGTGAGAGAGTGGTGGAGTGGGGAGAGCAAGCTTGTCACTTTAGTCACTTTCTTAGGCGCTCTTCATTGGGCACCCCTGGCATCTCCTTTTGTTCCTGTGTTTCGGCCTTCCAGGCTGTGGCTCGGGTGAGCCCCTAGGGGAGGGCTGTATTCAGTGTTGAAGGGCAGGGGCAGCTGAGGGAGGAGGCTGGAACTGCAGAAGCTTGGCCATGCCTCA